CCCCCGGGACAGCCCTCGGGACAGCCCCCGGGCTGCCTCAGACAGCAGATGAGGGACAGCGGCAGGACACCTGTGTGTCACCCGTGTCACCGTGTGTCACCCGTTGTCGTCTCGGACAGCAGCTGAGGGATGGCAGCGGGACACCTGTGTCACCGTGTGTCACCTGTGTCACCCGTGTCACCGTGGCCGAGGGACAGCAGCGGCACACCCATGTCACTGTGTGTAACCTCGGGGTGATGGGGCCAGCACACCCATGTCACTGTGTGTAACCTCGGGGTGATGGGGCCAGCACCGTGACACCGTGTGTGATCATCACCCTGGACGGCGGATGACAGACAGCAGCGGGACACCTGTGTGTCACCCGTGTCACCTCGGACAGCGGCTGAGGGACAGCGGCAGGACACGCGTGTTATGTCACCATGTGTCAGTCACCTCGGGGTGATGGGCACAGCACCAGGTCACCGTGTGTCACCACGTGTTACTGTGTGTCACCACGTGTCACCGTGTGTTCCCTCGGACAGCAGCTGAGGGGTGCTGGAGCCACCCTCCTGTCCCCTTCTGTCACCCTCCCACCCCTTTGGACTGTGGCAGTGGGGTGGGGGGGCCATGGGACACCCCCCTGTCACCTTCTGTCACCTGGGACAGTGGGTGATGCCGTGGGGGGGGGGGGGTTAGGGACACCCCCAGACACCTTGGTGTCCCCCCCAGTCCCAGGAGGGCGGTTTTGGCGGGGTGGGGGGGAGGGGTCTCAGAACCCTTTGTACCTCCCTGGTTTTGGGGTGCAGGGGGGTCTCCCATCCCCTCAGTCCCCCCGCTGTTTTGGGGTGCGGGGGGTTCCCCGTGTTTATCTCTGGCCATCGTGTGGCCGTTCCCGTAGCTTTGTTCTGGAAAGCTCTGTATAAAAACTCCTGCGTTCACTGTGCTGGACCCCCCCAAACCCCTCCGGGACCCCCCAAGTGGGGGGAGCTGAGCTGAGCCTTTTTTGGGGGGGGGAGAGGGGGGGTCCTGGAGAGGGGAGGGGACAAGGGACAGAGGGGACAAACCAGGAGCCATGAGTGGTTTTTGGGGGGAGGCTGAAATTTGGGGACAGGGTGGGGGGGTTGGGAAGAGGGGGGAGACCCCCGTAGTGACCCCCAAAATGAGGGCGGGGGTTGTATTTTTTTGGGGGAGGGCTCTCCATTCGTGGCTCTGCCCCCAAAGTGACCTTGGCGACGTCACCGTCACCTCTCCGTGCCTCAGTTTCCCCCAGCTGGAAAATTGGGGGGGGGGGGAATTTGGGGGGAGCACCCCTGGATGCAATTCTGAGCCCATCCCCCACCCCCTGAGGGGGGATCAGGGCCCCTCCCCACAGTGCTGGACCCCTGCCTAGGGTCCAGTTCTGTTTCCTCCTTGCTGTGGGGGGTCGTGGGTGGGATTTGGGTGGGATTTTGGGGGGATTTGGGGT